TAAAGGACTCTGCCCAAAATGTTTTTTTAGAGGTTTTTTGCTATAGGGTGTGTGCGCTCGCCTGACAGACAGAGAGAGACATAGAGACAGAAAGCAAGAAATCACCCCTAGGAGGGATGGCCACACCGCAATCCCTTCTCCTCCATTCTCCTCTCGGGATCGTGGGCACACACGCACATGCGCCCGGCGTGAGTTTAAGCCACTGGGTCCGGGACTCGAACCGGCTACATGGGAGTCCAGTGACTAGCCATTACGCTAACCGCTGGTCCCTGGCCTGAACTATCTTAAACAGCAGTGAGGATTCGCTTGACCAAGGGTATAGATACAGTGCACAACTTCTCTTTTGAGAAATGAACTATGGTTCTTACTGTCTAAACTTAAAAAAGCAGTGTAACTGTGTCTTTATTCACAATTACCATTTCATAAAATCAAATGGCAAATTAAAAGATGTCAAGTGAAAGTACTTATGTAGAAGAACTTCCTTTTAAAAGGTAATGTGTACCAAAACTGTCTTGACAATCCCCAAACACATCATTAATGATGCTTGAATAATAAAGGGCTTTCTAGTTGTTCATAGACATTAACTTAAAATATCACCAAGCAAAGGTCACTGTGGTTATGCACAGAGAATTCTGGATCTCCCTTGCGTTCCTACCAGAATGATTAAACAGTCATGCGTCACTTAATGACAGGGGTACATCCTGAGAAATGCATTATTAGGCGATGTCATCATTGTGTGACCATTGTAAAATGTACTTACACATACCTAAGTGGTTTAGCTTGTTACACACCCGGGCTATATGGAACGGCCTATACACTCCTTGTAGGACCACCACGGTATCTGTGGTCTGTTGCTGACTTAAACTATCGTATGCCACACGTGACAGTGTTTCACATGTATGTGACTGGCCAATGTCATGTCAGCTTTTTAGCCTCCCTTTATAATGCATTTTACATAAAGAGTACCAGGAATGAATAAAAATACTCTGGTACTGTTTACCTGAGTTTGTTCTGTATTGCAAAGATCAGATTTCTGCTAATCAGATTTACCTAGAAATTACAACCCTAAAGAATTTCTGAAGATGAAGACATTTTTAGAATGAGTCAAGGTTCACTCTTGAAATTTTAGAACTGAATAAAATGTATAAGCACTTTATCCGGATGGCATGTGGAAAACAGTTTAAAATGACTGGAAGCTATCCAAATCAGTAAAGTGGTGAGAAAGTGGCTTGATAGGGATTGGAAATTAAGACGCAAACAGTATCTGAGGCCGGAATGGAGGTCTCGTATATTTTCTGTGTTCTGTTCCATTTCAGGAAGAAAGAAAGTTTCTATTTATCTCTGTGAAATGATGACAACAGCTGATTAACATAAGGAGGAATTTATTAATTTATACAATATCCCTTTAGAGAATAAACAGTTTGGAATACGTTGTCAGTCCCATGCATGATTTCATATTGGACAGCCAAAATAATGTCATTTCCCAAACACCACATGCCTTTTTTTTTTTTTTTATCACTTAAGAAATATTTTACCAATGGAAGTTTTTAATGGGAGGAGTAATTTGATTATCTCTTAATTTAGAATAGCATTTATATTAGCCAACCTCCTAAAATCTCAGTTTCAACTTTTTTTTCAAAAGTCTGTGCAGAAGAAGAAGGAATCACATAGCTGGCCTCAGCTTAGACCCCTTGAGCTGACATGAAGAGAAAGTTCTTTGTCATTTTATTTGTAAAGCTTCCAAGCTGCAAGAAAGAGGCAAGATGGTCCAAATGTTTATAACATCTCCGTAATTCACTTATAAAATATTGGTTTATTTTTTTTAACTATTTTTAAATTTTGTTTTGTTTATTATCATCATTATCTTTTCACATGTGCTCACCAAAGAGAGAGAAAGTAAGTTGTGGGACCAGCAGTTAGCATAATGGCTATGTCGCTGGGCTCCCATGCAGTTGACCGTGGTTTGAGTCCTGGACCCGGCGGCTTAAACTCATGCCGGGCACATGTGCGTTCATGCCCAAGATCCCGAGAGGAGAATGGAGGAGAAGGGATTGTGGCATGGCCATCCCCCTGGGGGCGTGATTTCTTGCTTTCTGTCTGTCTGTCTCTGTCTTTCTGGCGAGTGCATGCGCCCTCTAGCAAAAACCTCTCCAAAAAAAGAAAAACAAAAAGAAAAAAAGAAAGAAAGTTGCTAGGTCCGGGACTAGAAGCATGGTGAGCCATGTGGGAAGTCCAGTGCCTCAACCACCATGCCACCTGCTGGCCCCTGGATTGTTTTCTACTGTTACCCTTGATATGAGTACTTTCTCTTTGACAATATTGTACTCAAGTGCACAGGCTCAGTGCTTCAACTGTCTGATGACTTTGATCCCAGCTCTACACTCACTAGCTATGGGTCCCTGGGTATGTTATTTTCTCATCTGTATAATGGGACTCATAATATTTTATAGGTTATTACTCATATCTACTTTATAGATTTTTATTAATACAATGGGTTAATTTAAAAATTAGGACTCAAAAATGTTAGCCACTTGGTGTTGATAATATTGATAATGAGGCTTTATTTCTGGGTGCCGGGTTTTTCTTTTGTTTGTTTTTTTGTTTGTTTTTTTTTTTTTTGCATTTTGATAGTTTGATTTTCCAAACTTTCTACTTTGCTTGTGAATAACTTTTCTTATTCTGTAGATTTCATTTAGCGGGTGTGGACTCACACCTTCCTTGTGGAGAATGTCCCACACCTGTACTCTGGTATCCTTGGAGTAAGCAGTAATTCCAACCTGCCTACACCTTGCAGTGATAGCTGACCTAAGACGTTCCAGGTTTCCTAATTCCACCCACCTCCCGCCCCATTTATCTCCCTATTGGAGCTCTATGGAATAGACCAGTATCCCACTGGGTACAGCTGGGACTCTCCTTCCTGTTGGCCAGTGGTTTGGTCCACTTTTGAAGGACATGGAGGGCAGCTCTGTTATCCTGAGGAGGAATTGGCAGTGATAGGGTGGATTGCTACTAATTTCTGGGTACAGGAAAAATTATTAGGTGGAATACCTTATTAGTAATTATTTTACATGAATAACATTTTGAGTTGGTAATATTTGGAATGTATCAGGTTAAATAAAACAGATCACAACAGTTCATTCTGTTTGGGGGCCAGTAGGTGGTGTAGTGGTTAAGGTGCTGGATCCCACATGGTTAACTCTGAGGTCTGAGTCCTAGACCTGGTGGCTTGAAACTCTCACTGGGTCCATGTGTGTGCGTGTTCAAATTTGCAAGAGAAGAGAGGAAGAGGGATGACAGTGTGGCCATCTGCCCTGGGGAATAATTTCTCACTTTCCCTCTCTCTCTGTGTCTATTCAGCGGGCACACTCACCTTTTGTAAAAAAAAAATAAGTTGATTCTGTTTATTTTTATTGTTTGTTGTGTGACTACTAGAAAATCTAAGATTCCACATGAGACTTGAATTTGTGACTCATGTTGTAATTCTGTTGGACTGCATGCACTTTGTCAGAGAAATAGAATTTCTGAAGGCAGCTATAAGCCTTTGCCTCATCTAATAGTGCCCATGGTTAGGACATGTGGAAAAGACTCCTTGGAAGTCTAGTGCAGGCCACTTCTGACCACCATGTGAGTATGGGCAAGGTAGAATAAAAAGAGTAGGTGGGAAAAAGCACCCCTGGGGCACATTTCAAGAATTCTGTAATTGTAGAATGCATAAACCAAACAGTAGCCATGAGTTTTGAATTGTCAGCTAAGCCCCTCAAGAAATAACTTAAATCAGAATAGCACAACACTTCATAAAGTTTAAAGTACTAGGTAGATAAAAGATACTATTATTACCAATAATCTAATGACAAAATAAAATTTGCCAATGGCCAAGATAAATTTCTTTATTACGAGATGATGTGGGGGCCAGCAGGTGGTGTAGTGGTTAAGGTGTTAGACTATGACATGGCTGGCTACAATTCGAGTCCAGAACCCAGTGGCTTAAAAATAATGACGGAGAGGACCAGCAGTTAGTGTAATGGCAATATCGCTGGACTCCCATGTAGTCGACTGCTGTTCGAGTCCCGGAATCGAACCGGACACGTGTGCATGCATGCCCAGATCCCTAGAGGAGAATGGAGGAGAAGGGATTGCGGCGTGGCCATTCCCTCAGAGGGGGATTTCTCGCTTTCTGTCTCTCTGTCTCTCTGGGTCTTTCTGGCGAGTGCACATGCCCTATAGCAAAAAAAACCTCTCCCCCAAAACAAAACAAAAACAAAAGAACTCACGCCGGAGAGGTGTGCATACATGTCCAAAATCTTGAGAGGAAAATGGAGGAGAATTTATGGTGTGGCCATCTCCCCTTGGGAGGGGATTTCTTGCTTTCTGTTTCTCTGGTGAGCACATATGAACTACAACAAAAATTTCACACACACACCAAAAAAAAAAAAAAGAAAAAAGAAAAAAGAGATGATGTGATATTTCAAATTCCTGTTTTGTGCCTAGTTCATTATCTATAGTTCACTGGGTATGGGGTCATGACAGACTCGAAGGAAGATGTCAGCTCAGTTGGCTTTCTAATTATGTCCATACTAGAATTTTCCCCTGATTGTTTAAAATCTTTGTCATAAAATGATATATAAGCAAACCTAGAAAATAAGGTACTGGACACATCCACATGGCCAACCATGGTTTGAGTCCCGGACCTGGTGGCTTGCTTTCTCACTTTCCCCCCTCTCTGTGTATGTATCTCTCTCTGGTCAAATTAAAATAAGTGAACGAACAGATAAAATTAAAGAATTCTTTAAAAAAAAAAAAAAAGAAAGAAAGAAAGAAAAGAAAAAAGAAAATGCTGACCGTGCCGGTGTGGTAAGGGGTAGCTTGGAGGAACTTAGGCACCTTCATAAACTTTATCTGTCCCTCAGCAAACCATAAACTGACAATCTAAATAAAAACACAACTTCAAAGCAAACCTCTATTCTCCCATCCTTTCTAACCAGACTTCTAACTTGAAGCTCCTCCCACTTGGCAACTCTGGAGAGCCTCTGGCCTAATATAAAACAAGGGAGCAAGAGGGAAAACACACAGATAAGCAGACTTAAAAGTCAACATATGGCAATGATGGAGGTCTTCTGATAAAAGGCAAGTTTACAAGAAAATAGGGGAACCTGTTGAAATGTCTGCTTTTATTTCTTTTTTAATTTTTAATTTTTATTTTTGAGAGGTTTTTGCTACAGGGCATGTGTGCTCGCTCCCCAGACAGACATAGAGAGACAGAGAGACAGAAAGCGAGAAATCACCCCCCTGGGGGGATGGCCATGCCGCAATTCCTTCTCCTCTCGGGATCCTGGGCACGCACGCACACAAGCCCGGCGTGAGTTTAAGCCACCCGGTCCGGGACGCGAACCGTGGTCGATTACATGGAAGTCCAGAGACATAGCCATTATGCTAACTGCTGGTCCCCCTGCTTTTATTTTTAAAAATACAGGTAGGAGGGAACCAGCAGTTAGCATAATGGCTATGTTGCTGGACTCCCACGTAGTCGACTGCGGTTCGTGTCCCGGACCTGGTGGCTTAAAACTCACACTGGGTGCGTGTGCGTGCATGCCCAAGATCCCGAGAGGAGAATGGAGGAGAAGGGATTGTGGCGTGACCATCCCCCCTGGGGGGTGATTTCTCGCTTTCTGTCTCTCTGTCTCTCTCTGTCTGTCTGGTGAGCACACACACCCTATAG